TTACTATTCAAATTTGAAAGATTCTTTTCTTTTTTTTTTTTTCTCCCGAATTTCAGATTTGAAGGTTTAGTTACACCATGTTTGATGGTGGCCAGAAAATTGGAGGCTGAAGAACTGCAGTAGTCTTATTCTGGTCTTCTGTTCTGTTACCAACCTTTGAACCAATGACCAATGACTAAGGCATTCTTAAACGAATTGCTTACCCAGCAGGCCAATGGGCAAAATGACACAAGTTGAATTAATGCTGTAAGTTTTCTCATTTCCTAATCCTAAATACAAAGATAGATACTAATCTGTATACTCTCTGATTTAATATATTACACAATATATTTATTAAAAATTATTATTTTTTAGTTTGAAATTAAAAATAGATAAATTTAAAAATATAATCATTTGTACAAAATGTAAGAATTAGTTAAATCAACTATATTTATATTATAAAATTAAACTAGACAAATATTAAAAAATGTGTTAAACCAAAGATATATTAATCATTTTTCATACGCAGATTGAACACTCATTTTCCATTAGCTCACTTATGGCTTTTAAATTTCTTTGTCTATGTGACGCTTGTTATCATAGATTTGCTTGATATATATTATATTTATTTATTAATGAATCTATGATTATTTGATAGAAAAATAATTATTTTCTGTTACCAAACTTATATTAACCAAAGGTTAATGTATAAGCAACCCCAAACACACGATAAAGGTGCGGTTTGTTTGCAGAAATGACTTGGTAATAGGTTTTTGTCCCTTAAAAGAAGTCATGACTGACTGTATGCAAAGACCAGAGATACATGGCCTCCCTTTGGGGTCCCCCATAGGCAACTCTAAAAGTCTAACTGAAATCAAAAGAAATTTCCACGAAATAGTCCCTTGAAAAAGTTTAGTTATCGCTTAAGTAGAACGCATGGTGTTAATCGGAAGTGGGAAACGTTCCACCTTGGTCGCAGAAGAAAAGATGTATGGATGTTTAATGTACACTTGTCCCTTAGAAATACCATACCATATTATACAATATATAGTAAATCAATGATAATTAAAAAATAATTTGTTTTAAATAAAACTACTTAATAAAAGATATTTATAAAAAGAAAAATTTCAATCGTCATTTAGTTGTCATTGTATAAAAATTTTAGGTAAGATTTATGTAAAATTCAAATTAGAATAATTAAAAAAAGACTTATGTAAAATTCAAATTAGAATAAGGGGTTAGTGCTTATCCATCTTATTTCAAAAAAATTAAAAAAAAAGAACAAAAAACACCCTATGCATGCTTTAAAAATAAGATATTTTAATTTTTTTCAATACGTGTTTATTAAAATGACGTAATTTTGAAATAATATGTTTTTTAATTTTTAAGAGATAAGGCGGATAAATACTATTTTCTTAGAATAATTAAAAAACACGAGAGAATAATAATTTCAACACTTTTCCAGTGATAAATTCTTGCATATAATCGGGTCACTAGCGAGATTTATGGAAGCTCCCCTTTTCCTTCGTAGCT